AACAGAGCTGATAATCAGGAGAGAGTAGCTGGTTAGTGTTAGCTTAGCTAGCATGCTGCTGGCTCTGTTCACCACAGAACAGGTTCAATTCTGACTAAGAGAAGGTTTACTGATGCAAGTTTAGATGATAATGATTCAAATTTGAGGACGTAAAAAGTCAAAGGCGTGGTGTTGGAGGGACAGAAAGCTGAAATGAAACCTATTCTGTAGTGTTTGGAGCTGTAGCCTCCTATCTAAGCTAATTCTCCAGCCTTTCTCTCCTAGTTAGCTTACCTTAGCTAATGAGACCCAAACGCCCAGGTTTGATTCAACTAACTGGTGCTCTGCTGTCACAAGTATAGACAATAAAAAACTTATTACAGCGAGAGTAAAATGTTAGAGCGCCAGAAAGCTGAAATCAAACCTGTTCTGTAGTGTTTCAAGCTGTAGCCTGCTAGGCTAAGCTAACACAAGCATACTGTGCCTCCCACCACAGTACAGCTAACTTATAGTAACAGATGCTCAAATAACACCTGCTTAGAGCATAACGAACCTGAGAGCACGCAGAGAAGCCCATGTTGGAGTGACAGACAGAATCAAATGTGTTTTGTGGCGGGTGGTGTTGGTAGGTTTCAGGTTGTTATATGAGAGACACTTTTTTGTGTAGTTTTCTTCAGCATTTCCTGGTTCTGATTTAGCGGTACAGCAGACAGAAAAAGAAACCATTACCAGTTTTATGAGTTCACACCAGCACGGAATGGCACAGTACAGCCCTGAGAACCATTTAGATCCACAGCAGAAAAGAAGTCTCTGTTTCTATGATGGAATATGTGATTAGCTGTCTCGTTCAAACACAGCTTTCAAAGTGAAACCTTTAGCACCTACCGCAGACCATGCTGGACTGTGCTTGCGGAGATGGAACTACTGGTGCTATATGCAGCGCCGTAAAAAAGTACTTGCCCCCTCCTAATTTCTTCTATATTTGCTTATTTGTCACATTTGGTTGTTTCAGGTCAAGCAAAAATTTATGTAAGATGACAAAGACAACACAAAATACCACAAAATGTTTTTTTTTTATGTATTAAACAAAATGCACTTCTTTTTTAAATTTAGAAAAGCTTTCTTTAGCATCAAATTTACACAAAATAATATATGCGCAAAATAATGGGATTAATCATGATTAGCTACACAAAGCAATGTGATTATTCGTGAGTAATTGTTTTAGAGGTTTGGTTGCATTTACATAAGAGCGAAATGAAGTAACAACTCTGGACTTCTAGGGGTTAATTAATTACACAGCTTTAGCACAGCATTTCCTGTTTGTCTTGGAATGTCAGCCTTTCATAAATCGTCAGCTTTCTCAGTCTGTCCATGATGTCATGGATAAGTTAAGATACTGATCTCCTGGGAGAAGTCATTGTTTAACGTTAGCGAGCTTGACACACAACACTGTGCGCTCAGAGTTAGCTCACGCCGCCCGCGCAGGTTAAAACACCATCGCGATTAGCGCTAAGCCTTTTTATTACCGACTTTACTGCCTCCAGGTGCCTCCCGCTGCATGAATAGGGTTGGATTGCGGCTCGGGCTGAAATGGCCCTTTAATAAAGCCAGCCAGCGACAAAGGTCTCTGACTCATAGCCCTGTTACAGACTGCACAAGCTGACCTCTTCAAGACTTCTCTCCGCTCAAGCACTCTCAGTGCCAGGCCTGCTGTGATTTGAGGGCGGGTGATAAAATGGGCTTCGGTGGGCAAAAGACAAGAGGTTAGCCTGCCGGCCTTTAGCATGCTGAGTGAATAAAACGCGCTAGTTGAATCTGCGCTCAGTTGCCGCGCCGATCAGACGGAAATGTGTTTTTTTTGTTTGTTTGTTTTTTTTTTTCTCTATGTGTGAGTGTGTGTTCTATGTATAGCAGCACTGTCTGTACATTTGCAGTCATTGAGCCGAAAAGAAATTAAAGAAAAAGCCTGCAGCCAGCAGTGTCTGGGCTTAAAGCTACAAAAAATAGGCTCCCCAATGGCACAGCAGAAAAGCAAACAGTAATACATCTGGAATGCGTCCAAAAGACAAATGCCAGCTAATACACAAACACAGTGCTGTAAGTAATTGGACAGTGACACAATTTGTGTTGTTTTGGCTCTGAAATCCAGCACAGTGGAACAATGACTGTGAGGCTGAGCTACAGACTGTCAGCTATAATTGGTAAACATTTAGACAGACTATATAACATAGTTATCTATAAAAGTGGACAGACTTTGAGATGACTTCTACTGTTTTTAGCTATGATATGTCCATATTATGATATGATATGTACATATTAGTAATTGTCCCTGGGGCAGTACCCTCAAGGGTACATCTCAGCACCTTTAATCAGGGAACATAACTGTACCATAAACCATTGAAATGATAGTTGTATTGACTCCACACACCCCGTTTGTCTCCAGGCTTTTTATTTTATTGTTCTGTTTTAAAACATTTAGTTTATGAAAAGGTGCATATTTGTACTTTTCACCTGGAAAAACTTATTTAAGGTAAAAAATTGAAACCACTGTTGTACCTTTGAGAATGCATTTACATTGTTTGTACCTTATTGAATGAAAAAAATGTACCTGCACAGGACCTTTATTTCTAACAGGGTACGTAGGAACCTCATCAAATCAAATCAAGCGTAATTGGTCACACACAGCCATACACAGTATAACATGTAGTGAAATGTTTATACGACTGTCTGTTCTCATGAAAAACAGAACATACAATAGAAAAATGTAAGACAAGCATATAACAAAGGAGAGAATATAAAACATAAAAATATAGGGTAATAATAACATAATACTTTGAAAAGTAATACTTCTGTATTATGAGTAGGTTATGTCAGTATTTGCAAGATGACGTCAGATGTTTTATAAAATAAACAACATTGTATGCTATAAGGGCCCTTAAGCTAAAGCGAGTCATTTTTTCTCATTCATATACTGTTATGCAGAGATTATAAGTTAGATGCATAGTTAGGAGTCAGTTCTATGGCAGTTGCCCTTAAACAAACTTATTGTTTTGATTTTCCCATTCCACCTTAAATGGTGCAGCAGTTACATTCTGGCGCCTCAGGCATCATTTAAGGTGGAACGGGAAAATTAAAACAATAAGTTGGCGAATGAGACACTGAGTTCAGCCTTGTAAAAAGTTTAGAGAGAAAAACGTTGAGAGACATTTTACAAGAAACTGTTCTAGTTTTAAGGAAAAGTTTTCTGGCGGAGATGCGAGAAAAGCGTCTATATCTGAGGTAAAGCATAAAACAGAGCAAAGTGAGTTTGTGTTTTCGTTTATATTTTGTTTAGCCTATACTATTACATTAGCACATCCTTAGACATACTTTCAGCCAAGATGGTAAAATGGACATAAAATGTTGCGGCTCCCAAGGTGGTTTGATTTTTATTGAAAGGACAAAATTGGCTCTTCTTAACATTTGGGTTACCGACTCCTGGTATAGGCCCACTAGCTAACTCAGCTGAGTCTTCTTCCTCTGTCTTTTGTTAGAGATCAGTGAGCTGTATTCAGCCCTCGTTTCCTTTCTTTCTTAGTGGAGATGATGAAAGCTGTGAGACTGAGCTACCTCAGCAGATCAGTGCATGTGACATGACACACATTATATTATTATTTTTTGCCCATCCGTTTTCACAGCTGCCCACTGAAGGCCGTAAATGCAGGTGTGGTTTAGATGTTTTTATTCTGTGTCCCATCATAACAGAAATACACTTCCTTTAAAAATGACTCACAAAACCACACACAAAGCTGTGTTCTTCCAGAGATGGAGCAGTTGCCCAGACTGTGAAGATTCTCATCACTTGACCTTATTAGTTTATGCTACCAGTAAAGATACTGAAAAATGATAAAATGAGAGGAAAACCAGAATAAATAAGTGGAGAAACATAATGAGTGCAGAAACTTCCAGACAGCTGTTCTGCATGATGTAATTGAGCATTATATAATGCCGTGCTCTGTGGCATGTATATGTAGAATATTCTACTTCCTTAGAAGAAATGCAAAGTGATTATGCAGCTTGAGCAGTTCCCAGGTGGTTGCTAGGGTGTTGCCGTACGGTTACTATGACATTTTAGGTGGTTGCTAAGGTTTTGCTAGGTGATATCTCTGGTGGTTATTAGGGAGTTGCTAGGTGGTTGCTAGAGTGTTGCCAATTGATTGCTATGGTATCCCTGGTGGTTACTAGGGCATTGCTACACTACATGGACAAAAGTGTTGAGACACTCCCACTCTTCTGGGAAGCTTTCTACAAGATTTTGGAGAGTGTCTGTGGGAATTTTAGCCCATTTATCCAGAGGAGCATTTGTGAGGTCAGACGCTGATGTTGGACAAGAGAGCCTGGCTCGCGATCTCCATTCTATTTCATCCCAAAGGTGTTTGAAGGGGTTGAGGTCAGGGCTCTGTGTGGGCCAGTCAAATTCTTCCACACCAGACTCACCCAGCTATGCCTTTATGGACCTTGCTCTGTGCACTGGGGCTCAGTCGTACTGGAACAGAAAACATTGTTCCCCAAACTTTGTGGGGAAAAGTTGAAAGCATACAGTTGACCAAAATGTATTGGTCTGCTGAAGCAGTAAGATTTCCCTTCACTGGAACTAAGAGGTCTAGGCCAGCCCCGAAAAACAACCCCATAGCATCATCCCTCCTCCACCAAACTTTACAGTTGGCACAGTGCAGTCAGGCAGGTAACGTTCTCTAGCATTCGCCAAACCCAGACTTGTCCATCAGACTGCCAGAGAAGCGTGATTTGTCACTCCATAGAACATGTTTCCACTGCTCCAGAGTCCAGTGGCTGCAAGCTGACCTTGTTTTTGGAATAAGATGATGAGAAAAATATCGAATTGACTTTAAAAGGTGGTTCATTATTGGAGCGCGGATGGCAGTGGCTTCCGTCACTAGACTGCTGAACACTCTCCTGCAAGATGTTTGTCTCCTGAACTCCAGTTTTGCACTTCTTATGTTGTTCTGTTGATTCCTCTCCAGGAATTGGAGGAATGGAAGAGTTTATCCTGAAATCAGCCACCGTCTCTACGTCCCCGGCCTGCTCCCCCTTCACTCCACTCAACTTCGAGGCCACGCCCATCGTCCGGGTCGCCATCGAACCCAAACATCCCAGTAGGTGTTTGCATCTCTCACACACACACACACACAGCGTTTGCATAGTGATGCCTCAAACAGAAAATCTGAAAATGCTGGCTGTTCTGACCCAATAAACAAAAAAAAAAAATTGGCTGTGAAATGTTGACAGTCTGTCCATCTGCATGAGTAATATCTTACAGAGATAAGTGTAAATGTGCTAAAGGCAGTGAGCGCATTATACTTAATAAAGTTTTATCTTACAGCAGTTGAGTCACTTAACTCAGACAAGCAGACATTTCATGTTCAGGCATCACATTTTCACTTGCATGTCTTAGTCTTACGAAAGTATTATAACTTTGGCTTATTTTTGTTGATTTATTTAAAAGAGACAATACAGGTAATCACTGTTACATAAAGTGTCACATGCAGTCGTATGCAAAGCTTTGAACACCCCCTTCTGCACATTTCTACAGAAGTCCAGAGAGGCTATGAGATTTATAATTTTCTGAATTTATATCTTTAGACAACGAATCAAATATCTTGTTATCTTGAGATAAAAAAAGTTTTTATCTTGCACTAATGAGTTAATTATCTTATTTCGAGATAACAAGTTAGTTGTCTTGTTATCTCGAGTGAGTTCATTATCTTGTAATTTCAAGACGACAAAGTTGTCTTCAGATGAGTAAATTATCTTGTTATCTTGAGATAACAAAGTTGATATCTTGAAATAGTGAGTTAATTATCTTGTTATCTCATCTTGGAATAAGAAGTTAGTGATCTTGATATCTTGTGATAGCAAAATTGTCTTGAGATAGTGAGTTCATTATCTTGTGATCTCAAGAGAACAAAGTTATCCTGAGATAAGTTATTTTTTTATCTTCAGATAACAAAGTTATCTTGAAATAACAAGCTAATTATCTTATTATCTCTAGATAAAGTTATATAATGATAATGAGTTAATTATCTTCTGATTTCAAGATCAAAGTTATCTTAAAATAACAAGTTAGTTTTCTTGTTATCTCAGGATAGTTGTCTTGAGATAGTGAGTTCATTATCTTGTTATCTCAAGATAACAAAGTTGCTATCTTGAAATATCGAGTTAATTATCTTCTAATCTTGACTTTTTTTGTCTTGAGATAGTGAGTTAATTTTCTTGTGATCTCAGGATAACAAAGTTGTTATCTTGAGATCACAAGATAATTAACTCACTATCTCAAGATAACAATCCAGAAAATTATAGCAACAGCTCATGGCCTCTTTGGCCTTCTGTACATTTCAGTGCACAGTTACTTTTTTATTTATTTGCTGAGTTTAGCATATTAGACAAAATAAAACATAAGTAAATAACAAAGTTATTTATTTATTTTTAATATATTAAGTTTAGCAAATATATGAACAGGAATGTTGCACTACAATGTGCAGAAGTGTGTTCCCTGTAGAGCATGTGTTCACTTATTTTCACTTAGAAAATCAACAAAACATGTCTTGTGACTGTATGCGAAAAAAAAGAATTAATTGTTCAGTTATTCCACCTGTTCCATCTTAGTTTTTTAACCTCTTTTTTGAAATGCAGCTCTGATGTTTTGTGCGGTTTGTCAGTTCTAACTTGTTCACAAGCCTCAGAAACACGAAATGTATCTTCATATTATGTGATGTAATATTTCTGCCATATCGCCTGCCATTAGCTGAGAGTTAATGTAGGTGTACATGGCCTTGATTATGAGTTTCTTCCTGGTTAACAAATTAAACCATCACTGATGTGTTTGTATCTTTAGCTCCAGAGCTGCTATGCTACCCTCGAGAAGCTAACAGTAACACTGTCCTCCATATGGAACTCATTAGCGCAGAACTCAGTTAAACGTTTCCCATTTTAGAGCACAAAGGAACTGTGTGATGACATGAGCACACACACAGGACTCTTTGTGAGGATGAAAATCAGCCTCAGCACTGATTCAGGATTATTTTAGCCTGCGTTATTCCAGGTTGACCTTAGGTTAGCAGAGGTCACTGCAGAGGAGAGTTCTGCACTGAGAAAGGCTTTGTATACAGTGTTCATGATCAGGGGATTATAGTAATCAAACGTTTCTGTAAGACTTCAAAATTTGCTTTATACAGACAGTGCTGTGCAGGAGTCCGGAAAGTGTTTAAAACTATTGATCTGCGTAGTAAGTGAGTGTAAAAATACTGAATGTAAGATGTTTTGTTATTCAAAAAGTTATTAATATGTTGGTTAGAAGAATACAGTTAGAACAACACAGGTTTGGTTCCTGCTGCACTCCAGCCATTGCATAAATTCCATCAGCAGTACACTAGATTTAATTTTTAGAAATGAGTGCATCATTTGTGTGCCTTATTTTAATCAGTTGTAATTTATTTTATTGTTCAATGCAGTTATATCACCATAATTAGATGTATTTTAAAGCTCTACTGTCTACTGACATTTTCATATTGTTATGTATGTCAAGCATTTCCAGTCTACTATGAATTTTTCAGTATGTATTATATATTATTTAGAGTCTACTATAAATTATTCAGTACTGATTATATATTATTTAGAGTCTACTATGAATTATTCAGTATTTATTATATATTATTCAGTCTATTATGAATTATTCAGTATGTATTATATATTATTTAGAGTCTACTATTAATCATTCAGTACTGATTATATATTATTTAGAGTCTATGAATAATTCTGTATTTATTATATATTATTTAGAGTCTACTGTGAATAATTCAGTATTTATTATATATTATTTAGAGTCTACTGTGGATTATTCAGTATTTATTGTATTATTCAGAGTCTACTATGAATAATTCATTATTTATTATATATTATTTAGTGTCTACTATTAATTATTCAGTATGTATTATATATTATTTAGAGTCTACTATGAATAATTTTGTTTTTATTATATATTATTTACAGTCTACTATGAATTATTCAGTATTTATTATATATTATTTAGAGTCTACTATGAATAATTCAGTTTTTATTATATATTATTTAGATTCTACTTTGGATTATTCAGTATTTATTGTATTATTCAGAGTCTACTATGAATAATTCATTATTTATTATATATTATTTAGAGTCTACTATTAATTATTCAGTATTTATTATATATTATTTAGAGTCTACTATGAATAATTTAGTTTTTATTATATATTATTTACAGTCTACTATGAATTATTCAGTGTTTATTATATATTATTTAGAGTCTACTATGAATAATTCAGTTTTTTATTATATTTTATTTAGAGTCTACTATGAATTATTCAGTGTTTATTATATATTATTCAGAGTCTACTATGAATTATTCAGTATTTATTTTATTATTTAGTCTACTATGAATAATTTAGTTTTTATTATATATTATTTACAGTCTACTATGAATTATTCAGTGTTTATTATATATTATTTACAGTCTACTATGAATTATTCAGTGTTTATTATATATTATTTAGAGTCTACTATGAATTATTCAGTATTTATTATATATTATTCAGAGTCTACTATGAATTATTCAGTATTTATTTTATTATTTAGTCTACTATGAATAATTCAGTCTTTATTATATATTATTTAGTCTACTATGAATTATTCAGTATTTATTATATATTATTCAGAGTCTACTATGAATTATTCATTATTTATTATATATTATTCAGAGTCTACTATGAATTATTCAGTATTTATTATATATTATTCAGAGTCTATTATGAATTATTCATTATTTATTATATATTATTTAGAGTCTACTATGAATTATTCAGTATTTATTATATATTATTCAGAGTCTACTATGAATTATTCAGTATTTATTTTATTATTTAGTCTACTATGAATAATTCAGTCTTTATTATATATTATTTAGAGTCTACTATGAATTATTCATTATTTATTATATATTATTCAGAGTCTACTATGAATTATTCAGTATTTGTTATATATTATTTAGAGTCTACTATGAATTGTTCAGTATTTATTATATATTATTCAGTCTTTTATAATTATTCGGGCACCACTATAAATTACTCAGTACTTTCTATGAAATGTGAGGGAGGAACTACAGGATGTGAGGGCCCACATATAGACCTTTTAGAGTTTGTGTTTAATCTGATGTTAAATCTGTTCCTGAAACAGTCATCAATTACATGGTCAAGAAAAAGTGAAACGCATGATGTCAGAGCATATCAGAGCACTAAAATAGTTTGATTCCCATGGCAACCAAAAACTATTTTATCCATCTATCATTTAGCGCCTGACTTTGTGTGTAGGTGAGATGCCGAAGCTGGTGCGGGGGATGCGGCTGCTGAACCAGGCTGACCCGTGTGCAGAGGTTCTGATCCAGGAGACTGGAGAGCATGTGCTGGTGACGGCGGGAGAAGTTCACCTGCAGCGCTGTCTGGATGACCTCAGAGAGAGGTACACACACTCACATAACAGAGCTGTGCAGAAACTACCATTAATCAATGAATTATGATTCTGTTTTTCAGAAATTGGCTTTGATACTTTGAACCTTTGCCTTATCTATCTGTCTATATCTATCTATCTATATAAAATTACATCTATCTATCTATCTATCTATCTATATATCTATATAAAATTACATCTATCTGTTTATCTGTCTGTCTGTCTATTTGTCTATCAGACTGTCTGTCTGTCTGTCTGTCTATGTATCTATATATCTGTCTGTTTATCTGTCTGTCTGTCTGTCTGTCTATTTGTCTATCAATCTGTCTGTCTGTCTGTCTGTCTGTCTATGTATCTATCTATATATCTATCTGTCTATCTATCTATATGAAACTACATCCATCTATGTATCTGTCTGTCTGTCTTTCTGTCTATCTATCTATGTATCTACCTATCTGTCTGTCTGTCTGTCTATCTATCTATCTATCTGTCTATCTATCTGTCTGTCTGTCTGTCTGTCTGTCTAAATTGAATGTGTCCTCTAGTTTTCTCAGTTCTTTTTCTCAACATGCCTTTAGCAACCTTAAATCATCGTCAGTGCTGTTAAGTTCATTCAAAAGCATAAATAAATTGGGCAGATTGAACCCTTTCCCCCATATTTCAGGTTTTGGAATGTGTCCTGAATTTTGCTCTCAGTTAAGAATTTTAATTTCAGCGCATCACATTATTATTATTATTATTATTATTATTATTATTATTGACATTCATTATAGAGATTAATCAATTATAGAAATAATTTAGTGCCCTGGTTTTTTTTTTCTCTCGCTCTCGCTCTCTCTCTCGCTCTCGCTCTCGCTCTCGCTCTCTCTTTCTCTACATCATTAAATCTGGTCTGCAACTGGCTTCGCTGCTCCCACAGATCGATACTCTTTGATATCAGTTTCTGTGCCAGGAATGCGTTGATGCCCCTTTGCTGCTGCTAAGCTAACTCCAGCCCCCCACCCCACCCCCCGCTGTGCCCTGTGGGGCGCATTTATCAAAGACTTCAGCATGTAAAACATTTTTGCACACTAAATTCCAGGTATACGATCGATGACTTTAACATTTCTGGATAAATACCCTGAATAAAGCACACATTTAGTTCACTTTCTTCAGTTTAGCTTTTGCTAAATATACCACAATCCAGATTTTACTACCACTTTTGATATTTTAGATGTGCTCAAGTGTGACATTTGCATTTAATAATGTATTTTACAAACTTTTTTTGAGGAATTACCAAACATTTATCTTTAAAACACTTTTATATGTGCATAAAAAGGAATACAAAAGTCACAGATGTAATCTTTCTAGTTTCGAGTGCCGTATGCATATTAAATGTTTTAGTATGTCCCACCAATCATAATTTACCTGCCACCCATTTAACAGAAATATCACACCTTGACATTTCAGACAAATTAACATCACTTTACTACATGGACAGTAATTTCCCCTCAAATATGCTTAGGAACAATCATTCAACTGAATCTTAGTAAGATGGTGTTCCTAAGTGTCCAAGCCCTTAATGACCAAAGGGATAAAGCGAGGTCATTTCTATTTTGGCTTTCCAGAAATGAGGCATTTACTGAAAATAATATAATTTTTCAGAATAAAAAATGATTCAAAAATTTGTTTTGAAAGATGTCACAGTGTCACAGTAGTCCATATTAATGTCATGTTAAACATGTATGTTTTATGAATGTTGATTTAAACAGTCATGAACTTGAAGCGTTTATGTGAGATGTTATGAATGTGTTACGTAGACACCCTTCAGGTAAAGTGTTACCAAACTGATATATGGTGTTTCTAAATAGGCTTTAGAAATGGTGCTTTGTAACAGCACTGAATGGCACAATAAATCAGTACTTATGAACAGCTAATGCTGTACAAAGTGATGTAGACATATTGTTCAGGTTAACACTATAATAAAGCATTATAACTGAAGAAGGTCCTGGTGAAGTGTGAATAATGTGGGAGGACAGTGTATTTGTGTAATCTGCTCCGTCAGTGTTAGCATTTTGAATTTTCGCAGGTGCAATACTTGCCCATCCTAAAACCATTTATAGATCAAATCTGAACATGTAAGCATGTCATATGACAGAAATTGGTGGTATGATGTCATGTATGGATGTATGGCTGCCAACTGGTGTTCTCTTTAATTTGAGAAAACATAAACTGAATAGGTTTTGCAGTCCTTTGCTGACTTCGTTACATCTGCAATATTTTAAGATTTTATAATTGAAATTTTCATTGTATTCAAATCCAAAGTTTCAACACTTGTATGTTGCTGAGTCAGTTGACCTGCAGGGAAAAAAACATAGTCATTAAAATGGTGGGCTTTCCTTCACTGATTTTAATGAGACCCCAGTGTAGATTTAGTCGCCCTTGAGTTTTACCTTGTACTAACCGCACATCTGCATGAATTCTCCACCTTGCATGCTAACGACTGAAAACCCAGGATACCTGTTCATACAGCACACTGTTAGAATATGAGCCACTAAGCTTCTCACTGTTACTTATTATAAGGTTATTTAAAACCTGCTAATACCTTTTGCTTAGTTTTTTCTTTTTTTGTGAGGTAAATGGACCAACATTGATCCAGAGTGAGTTATTGTAAGATTAGCATCCATTAAACATAAGAACGTTTTTCGATTTTGGAGATTAGAGGTTTTAACAGCAAGTGAGTCAGTTTCAGCATAATTAAGTGCTTAAGATGTAAACAGAGACATTCAGAGTGGTTTGGTGCAAAATACTATGAAACCAAGTCAGAATTGTTCATCGTGTTGATGATAGGAACCAGACGTCCACCTCTAAAAGCTCCCTCACAGAAGTTATTACATGAAATGGTTATGAATACACTGCCTGATGACTGAGACACTGTTCGTATGATAAAGGTTTTGGCCTAAAACATGTTTGTGAAATCCATTCTCAGTGGAGGGATCCATGCAGGGTGTTGTGAGACAAAATAGTCCCCAAAGAAAACTGATTATATTCAGATTTTCCACTATTTTACCATCATCAACATTCCATATAAAACTCAGAGGACATGTGTAGGTTCACTGGTTGTTTTTGATAGTAAATAAAATGTCTATATTTGTGTTGTAGTCATGGTGATCCCTGGTTCCTATCACCACCACTGTAAAGAAATCTGAACCATTTCACACCAAACCACTCTGAATCACTCTGTTTACATCTCAAACACTCAATTATGCAGAAATTTTGAGAAATTAATGGAATTCATCTTCAAAAAGAGAAAAATAATTAGCAGTTTCTTTTAATGAGACAACTTGTGATTTTAGTGCTTCCATTTTCAGGGTATTTAATGATTATATATTTCCGCCGTTGGTCTCATTCAGCTGAAGAAGACTTAATGAAAGAGTATTCTTAGAAGCTCGTGGTGAAGTTTTAATAATGTGCTGATCAGAAATGAGGTGTGCAGTGTGGAATTTTAAGGTGAGATTTGGGTTTTTCCCATCAGATCTTTGCCTTTTTTGTCGGTATTCATGTGGAAATTAACTTCTGTAATGAAGGAAAGTTCCTGAAGGATCCTGACTGTGTTTCATAGAGTGCTCAGATGTTCATTAGTTTGCTAATGGTGAACTTTTTTGGTGAAGCATTCTCTGATTTTGTTTTAATCAGATGTGGCTGTTTAGTAATAGGGCTGCATTTTGGCAGTTAGTGTTGAATGATTTTTAAGCTTGAACAGGACAGTTGATACACTCAGCCAACACCACACACTGCACTGGTTCTTCATGGGTTCTTTAGAAAGAAAGAAAATGGTTCTTTATAGAAGCATGAGCACTCAAAGAACCATTTGGATGATTAAAAGGTTCTTTGCATCATGAAAAGGTTCTTCAGATTAATAGAGAATGTGCCGTAAATGTTTTTTTGAAAATGGTTCCATATAGCGCCCAGAAGGGTTCTTGTATTGTTACTATGTCAAGGTTGTAACAGTAGAAGAACTTTTTTGGGTGCTAAATAGAACCCTTTTAGAAAGGTTCCATATAGAACTGTCTATAGCACATTCATGCACATTTTCCATCAATCCAAAGAACGCTTTATGATACAAAAATCCCTTAAATCATGCAAAGGGTTCTTTGAGTGTTCATGGTTCTATAAAGAACCATTTTCTTTATTAAAGAACCCTTGAAGAACCATCTTTTTTAAGAATGTACCTTACCTCTACCATATCAGTGCCACTGCTGTGCCCAGAATGTTCTACCTTCCAAATATTGGGTTCTTTAAGTGTTCATGGTTTTATAAAGAACCATTTTCCTTATTAAAGACCCCTTGCAGAACCTTCTTTTTTAAGAGTGTACTTTACCTCTACCATCTTGGTGCCACTGCTCTGCTCAGAATGGCCCACCACCCAAACCTTCAAGAGTTCTTTAGTAAAGAAAATGGTTCTTTCTAGAGCCATAAACACTCAAAGAACCCTTTGCATGATTCCATTTAGCACCCAAAAGTGTTCTTCTATTATTACGTTGTCAAGTTTGTAAGAATAGAAGAACTTTTTTGGGTGCTAAATAGAACCGTGCTCAGAAAGGTTCCATATAAAACTGTCTATAGCACATTCATGCACATTTTCCATCAATCCAAAGAACCCTTAATGATACAAATAACCCTTTAATCATGCAAAGGGTTTGAGTTTTCATCTTTCTGTAAAGAAACAATTTTTCTTTGTTGAAGAACGCTTGAAGAACCATCTTTTTTAAGAGTGTACCTTACTTCTACTATCTCAATGTCACTGCTGTGCTCAGAATGATCCACCACCCAAATAGTATCTGGCCAGCGGTGCTCCTGTGGTGGTCTCTTTTATTGATAGACAGGCTGGGGGGACCGATAAATTGTGCATTAACAGATGATTTATAGTCTGTAACTGTAAACCTACAGCAGTGCACGTGTGGTACGCAATTCATAGTAGTTGCCTAATAATTCATAGCAGTTATAGAATATTGTGTAGTACACACTTAAAG